CTAGACTCTCACCGCCACAAAAGAACGGTTCATAATAACTGAGCCATTGTTGCCATCCACAGGAGCCTGGAGTACTGACAACGCAGAAGGATTCTGGTCCAAAATGGCAAAGTAGCCCTCCACAGACAGGGGAGAAGGAAAATATGAGTGTAGTGTTGTGTTATTCTTTCATATAGTACTTTCCACTCTACAAAAGCCTGAAATGCTTAGGGAAATTTCTCCCTCAAAATTAAAAAATAAATAAATTTTAAGAAGTTCATCATCCGCCTAGAATGCTTTGAACAGGTATCACTTACCCACCACAGTCTACATCTCCTTTTGCACAGTGGAGTAGGAAAATAAATTTCAGCATATAATGAGGTTACCATAGCATACAGGCCTTTAGACAGTACTTGCATCCTGTTCCAGAAGGTCATCTTGTCTGTGTAATCTCAAGCACTCAAATATTCATACGACTAAATCACCAACTCTGGAAGCCTCGTATCTGAGAGGTTCAAAACTGCTGGCTGAAGAACTGTCTGGTCCATTTACACCGAGTTTCAATACACCCTGGAAGTCAGGGAAGTTCCAGAAGGCAGCAAATATTTTATCAGCGTTTATAATGAGTGAATCAGGTGGCCCAAGTAATTAAAAATTTCTCAACCTAAGTTTGAGCTCAGCGCCTCTGGTACAGGACTTAAGTAGCCAATTGAAAGGGAGGTAATATAACAAATTTTGCTTAACACGAGATTGTGGAAACTCGGTGTGAATGCAGTTTTAATATCTTTTTGATGACATTAAACTTAGCTCTTTTGTAATAGGCTTCAGCAATGTCTGAAACATTAAATTTATTAAAAGCTGAATGACCTCTCTGTCTTAAATTGTTATTGTAAAGACACATTTATTATCAAATTGGCCTTTGTCTAGTAGGATCCTGCAGAGACAGCTTATGGACCCTACACTATTTAATATTTTTACTAGCAACCTGAAAAAAATCTGAAATCATTATTAGCAAAGCTTTGTAGAAGGCACAAAGCATGGAGCAAGAGGCAAAGGATGCTTATGGCTGCATAACCCTGTGTTAAATTTAGGCATAATCAAATTGTATGTATTTCAATCAAACCAAATGTAAAGTCTCACATCTAGGAACAAAGAATGTAGGTCACACTGAAAGGATGTAACTCTATCCTGCAAAGCTGCAATTCCTTAAAGACTTCATTAAGATGAATAATCACTGAACGTGAGCTCCTTCTGCAGTGCTGTGACCAAAAGGCTAGTGCTGTCCTGGGAAACAAACAAGAGCCAGGAGGTTCTTTTACCTCTGGTTTTGACTCTGTTGTGACTGCTTTGGAAATAATTTGTCCAGTCAATGTTTCAAGAAGGATGTTGAAAAACTAGAGGGGTTTCAAAGAAGAGTAGTAAGAATGATTACAGGACTGTCAAGCATGTTTTATAGTGAGACCCAAAATGCTCAGTCTATTTAGCTTTCTAAAGAGAAGGTTAAGGTGCGAGGTGATCATACCTTATGAGCACTGAAACAGGAAGAAGAATCTGGTAGTACCAGGATCTTCTATTTAGCAGACAAAGAGATAAGATCTCGTGACAGAAGGTGATGGGAAACAAATTCATAAACAAAGCATGCTTTTGTAGTGAAGAAAATGAACTGTTGAAACAGCTTATCAAGATTTATGGTAGATTCACCATTACTGGATTTTTTAAAAAACAATACCAGTGGTGGGGTTTTTTCCTTTAGAGAGAAAGCATGGCTAGACCACAACTACTAAAACTTAAACCAGGAATTGACCTGAGTCCTAATGCAAGATATCAGACTGAGACAGTCAAAGGGGTCCCGTCTGGTCTTAGGCTCTGTTGCTCTACAGAGGCAACATCTGCATAGCACATGTCTCCCTGCACTGTGTGACACCCATATTCCAGTGTACAGTAGTCTTCAGTCTGTGGCCATGCCACTTTACAAAGGAAACTACTTGGTGCCATCCAGAAGGAGCCTGGGTGCAAAGTAACACGTGCAGTGTGACCCTCTGGGATAGCAGGACCAAGGTATGGACAAGTGCATCTGTAGAACAGGGTCTCAGTGCTCTCCAATTTGTGACCCAAGGTATAAACAACTATGAAGTATTTGACTAAGATGAAACGTGCTTGCATGCAGTAATCATGGAGAGGGTCAAACATGCTCCAGACAGGGGATACAGAGTAATATGAAGAAAAAATTATGATATGTTGCTCTTAAATGTAGCATTGTTTTCTAATATGGGTAATTGCCTTACAACATACTACCAATAGTTACTCTTTGCCCAAAACGTAGATATCCATTATTTTCTCTGGATTTTTTTAAAGAGAAATGGACCTGCAACTGCATACACTTGTTCTCAGGCATGGTTTCAGCTACTGTGACTGCTGTGGAGCTGTCAAAGCTGTGCATCACAGGCTAAGAACCCAATGGCACTAGTCTTCCCAGCAATGCCAAAGTAAGGGCATGTGTAGATTTCTGTAGGAGCAATAACCAAGGAAGATTCTGAATCATTACTAAAACTGTATGTGTAGCATGATTGTTTCCATACTCTAATAAAGGACTCAATGCACGTGCTCAGTGCAGTATAATCAAGTCAATTATGTATCCTTCCCAAATCTTACTAAGTTCCCAATCCTTTCATGGCCTGTGACCACTCTGAACCTCTAGAAAATGGGTTAGGGTTCTGTGCTGAAGTAGAGGACCATTCCAGCATCATGGCTTGCAGGGTTTGTAAGCTAAAAATTGGGGGGCTTATATCTGTAAGGTTCATGCTTTAACAGTGTAAGTCAGTGAAATCCAGCTTGGAAGAAACACCATTTCAATACTTGCCTGTCAAATTTTTTTTTCTGTCTTCAAGGGGTTTTATTATTTGCAGTGCCCTCAAATACACCTTTCCAGCTAAAGACACAATCATGTGGACAGCTCTTTGTTTTGTTTTCCTTCCAGCCAATGCTTTTGTGTATTTCTGAAATTTAAGACACCTTCTCTGCTACTACAGTACTTATCTGTAACACCATCGCTTTGAGGGATTAAAGCAGGTTACTTGTTACACACTTAGATCAAGAGTTATCTGAGTAGAAAGTCTATCCTGTTAGGGTTGGCGGAATCTGTTTTTGATCTTGAGTTGTTTTGATTTTCTCTGAGAGCAAGTAACATGTTATTTTAACTTCTGAATAAGGTGTGCTACCTGACTGTGTCTCTTCTGTTTGGCAGAAAGGATTAGAAACCTCCACGGAACTTGCACTCTATTGAAGCAGAGTGCTCACCATTGAGAACCAAGGAGCTGAATTGTTTTCAGATTATATGTGTGTGTGTGTCTTTCCCACATCAAAGACTTTGATGGAAGCTGTTCACGCTATTGTCAGGAATGCAGGGATTGGCACAAAGGTGATTAACAAAATTGCTTTTCTGCAGGAGAAGCACAAAAATTATCAAAGGATTAAAGAGGATAAAATTAAAAGGTTATGCTGAATTTGGGGGTGAATTTTCTCCTTTTTATCCCAAATTATACATACTGATTTGGTTTTACCTATAAAAGGTCTGCCAGAAGAAATCAGGATTAGAAGCTATTTGGTATGGGTTCTGTTAAAGGGCGAGGAAAAAACTTCCCTTAAAAATAATCCCAACAGACCCTATTCTGTGTGCCTCCAAACCACATCCACAAGGAGCTTTTAATGAGTACTAAGGGCACCCAGCCAGCAGCAATCCCTACAAGGTTCTAGCAGCCACAGGTTTGAGACCTTTAGTCATAATTATGCTGAAAATTATGAAAACAAACAATTCCATAAATCGGTTTGTCATCAGTGACACTGTTTGTTTACTTTTCTCACTACACACTTATGACAAAGATACTAAACTGAAGGGATCACTTTCATTATCCACTTGCTGGGCACATGCAATGCTTTTGTATTTTGATCAGCAGCTGAGCTGCTTGAATGGTTTGGAAAAAAAAGCAATAAAATGGATTCTCAAATATTTTAGTGTATCAAAATGAACAGCCGAGCCTTCCAGAAGCTGTCTTGCTTGGCAAAACTGCAGTGCAATAAAAAAAATGTATCACAGCCCATAGCTGGCAGAATTGTCTCATCTTGCTGGTTCAAACTCTGTTTATTGTTCTTTTTATTTTGAACAATTCTCTGTTATTTGCTAAGTACCAGCCATATACCTATTTCTTGTTGTTGCATTTTGAGTTTTGTTTGTTTGTTTTACTAATCTGTTATTATCTGGAAGTCACCTAGAATATTTTATTTGTTTTTAACCTCATTTATCAAAGTATTATCTAAAGCATCTGTTCAGAAAATGTTCATTTTAACTGTTTTCCCAACAATGACCTTCTTCCTCCCCCCCAGGCCACATCAAGTTGTCACTTACCAGACAGCTGTGGAATTTGGAATCATTCCTTTTAAATGCTTTACAATTCCAAATGGTAGATTTCTAATGGCACAATATGATTGCCACAAAGATCTTTAAATTTCCCAGTCCTCCAGGCTTCAAAGGCTGGACCCTCCTTGATCTCCTGAAGGAATGCTTTTGAATTTTGTTCTTTTATAGGGGCTACCTATGAAGATATTTTAGGGGCTTTTTCCTTTCATACTCAGAGCCTGAGGAACTAAACATTCGAATACCCAGTGCCTTCTTTGAGAGTAAGATCAGGACTTAGAAACTTGTTTCTAGAGATTTTCAGCTCAGTTTTCATTAATTCCACAGGTTGTTCCAAAACTTCTTGGAGTGTTTATAAAGCAATGTAAGAGTATCCTCGGTGTAGCAGTGAGTATGATACTGTTTTATCCTGCATCTGCTTCCCACCTACATGGCTACTTCATGCTGTTCCTCACCTGCCATGAGCAACTCTGGCTGTGTCCTGACTCATCATGTGCTGGTGGGTATAGAGGGGTGCCTTGCTCTTGGAGGATGCTTCACTGTCCTATCACTTACAAGGTAATAAGTTGCTTGATGAAAGTGAGCAAACCTAATC